CATGGAATCCGTTTGAGACAATTGGACTCCAAAGTCAGAAAAGCTATTTTACAAGCTTGCATCTAATCAGTAAGTTTTCTATCTACTTTGCCCGAATCTAAAAAGTCATTGTTTCATAAAGGGCGTTCTGATCGTATTGTCTTACGTATATAGCGTAATTATCTAAACAATTCAGGAAAATACTGCATGCCAGTGATGCACGTTACCATCTTTGAATTCTCTTTGACTATTCTTGGCATAGATCTTTGTCCCAAGCGCTTGTCCAATCATCGTAAGTAAATTATCTGTTTATAGCGAATGTGTACTCATTGCTTGCTTACCTTGTTTTGACTTGTCATATTCGACACTTATCGGGGTCAATATTACTCTTTTGGGTCCATTTGGTCAGGTTATGAAGAGACGAAAAGATGTGTGCGTAATTATACCTTGCTGCGTATCACGTTGGCACTGAATGATTTGGTTTATGTAATACTTGTCGTACTTCCAAAAAGTCGCAGAGTAACACAAAAATTACGAATTATACCATGCATCACGTATATGTAGACGTAAGATTTTGGTAACATGGTAATAACTAGGATTTTTCAGGTTCAATTTCTCTTCCATCAAAAATTTTTACTCTGAACTTAACGCATTAATTAAACTTGTTTGCTGTATCGATGATTTTACGTAACGCAAGCAGAACAGGTATTTATGCGTAACTTTTAACGTGAAAGGAAGAATAAACATATCGATACTTTGTTATTTACCAAGTAATGCGTTGCCAAAGCAACTGACATAAAGCCAATAATATCTGCATACGATTGTGAAGCGCCTTATGTCTATCATATTGCATGGGGTGTAAGTATACTATAACATAAATATCTTTTTTGGAAGGTTAAAAAACATGAATAGTTTTGTTCACTAGTTTATTTTTCATGCTTAGCAATGATACTATAGCATTATCTTTTGCTAAATTCTTACTTGGATATCTCAACGGCGCGAATTATCTTACGCGCATGCGGTTGAAATTGGTTTTGTGTCTAAAGCACAATACGAAAAGACGGCGTTACGTTAAAATGCGTAACATTTTTTAAGCTTTAATCTAAAAATTCTACGTTCTGTACTAAGCTTATAACTGTACTGTAGTGTTAATATGCATACAACCGATCCAAGAATTGAAGTAGAATGCCAAAACACATTCACGTGAAATACAGTACAACAGACGTAACTTTGACTTTTTCAATAATTTATCTGGTTGTCCAGCTTTCTACTTTCATTCTTTGATACAAACTATTAATTTTACTCGGAAGAATTTTCTCCAACAATTGTATCGCAAATTTATTTCCGAAACTGTAAGATGTCGACATGCATTGTATTGAATAATCTGTGCAATGACTCGCTTAACTTTTATGTATTTAGCAATCGGTTCGAGAACAAAACGATTAATATTGTTAGCAAAGTCATCTAAAGTTTATGTTGAATGTTTTAGTGTACGTTGCGTAGCCTTCGTCGCAAAATTAAACTTTGGGACTAGATCAACAAGGTTACGTTCGATTGGTGCGGATTAAATTTTTAAAATTTAGGAAATATATTTTACGTGCGAATATCAGTGTTATACAGCATACTAATACTAATATGTCTGGCCAGCTCCAATAGATACAATCGTGAGATGTTTACGGATAAACCCGCTTTTACAAGATAAGATGCACAACGTAAAGGGTCAGACAAAAGGCGATGACTTGGGATGCGGAAAAGAAAACCTGCTGTTCAATAAATGTTGTAAGAATACGTCTTGTTACTATTTACTGGTACTATTGCATATAGAATTGCTTGCTCTGCATATAAAATTGCTTGCTCTGCATATAAATTTGCTTGCTTTGCATATAAAATTGCTTGCTCTGCATATATGCCACAGTGAACATAGCTGACGATAAAAGTCTAAACCATAAAATTGTCAATGTTATAATAGAATTGTTGTTTACAGTGGCATCTTTTTTACCATTTATCTGGATACACATAACATAATCTGTAAACATTACTGCATCCAGTCGACCATAGTCTTGTTGCCATTATAAACGTATTGAGTTAGTTCGCATGATGTTAATTGTAGCCTGAACCATGCATATTTTATTACTGTTGTGACTGGCCATTACCCTATGGCAAGCTCGACGCTTATCAATGGTTACTGGAAATACAAGTTACGTGTTTTCGTCTAGTACTTGCGGCGAGCAATGTTAAAAATTAATATTCAATCATATTAATCGTTTGAATATCAGCAAATACTCTCCTGTCTTTTTCCACACCCGAGCTCTACCACTCTGACAAGCTCACAGTCGAACAGAGAAATGGTAATACAAGTTGAAAAATGTTTCCTTCAATATCATTAGTTATCTGAAAAACATTTAGATAAATGCCAAGTATTGCAATTTCTAAAAATGCCAATAAAATAAATAGTTGAGATTGACTCAAGATAGAGGGGGAAAAAAGTTTGGCATGCATTGAAACGATAATTCCGGATGCACAGTTTATATGTACATTTATGCATTGTGCATACCAAGTCGAAAATATGCGAGACAACAAATAATCATTATCTTTGATGGTTTTCGGATGGAAAAGTCCTGCTATATGAATAGTGTGGTTAGTCCATCTCATCTCCATTATAGTTCTAGATGAGCACGTCTTTTAAAACATTGACTTTTATTCAATGTTGAATACTGTATTGCTCCCCTGATTAGTATATAGTTATTTGGAAAGATCTCTTTCGAATATTAATGCATTGCCGATAACTCTCGGCCAAGATTTATTATCATAGGGATAGACCGTACAACAGGAAAATTCCCCTTCGTTATGTTATGTTACAATGCCAATTGTTATTGTTATTGTTATTGTTATTGTTATTGTCATTAACCCCGAGGTATTAGTATTACATTGCAAGTTTTTTAGCCAATCGACACACATTCTCGCCTTCTCGCCATCTCTCTCTCTCTCTTTTTCTTCTTTCTTTATAATTGCCTTTTCTTCCTTATCCTTCATACTCCTTATGTCAATAATGCCTTATGGTTATGCTTGTTTGCTGGCTGTGTTCTCAATCATTTTCATTCGTTATTGATGGATACTAATTTAATGGCCTTTCCTTATCAGGTAACTGGCACTGACAAATTAAATGTTACCGAACTTTCTGTTATACGTCAGTAATCCAAACAGAATTAAACAACCAATGGGTTCCGATTTACGGACTGGTGTCTCACATTCAATGCATGCACATAAACAAGAACTAATGCGAGTGCGCTCTTTGGTCTATTTTGAACCATGTTTATAACACTCTGTGGAATCAAGCCGTTTACGTCTATCAATTATAAATAAAACACTGTGAAACCCGATTTCTTGATGCGCATGCAATGCAATTTACTAAATAGAATACTCTGTATTACATGTTCCTGTGTCACTTGAATCTATCGAAATTAACAACTGTACATAAATACCATTATCCCCATTTTAATGTGCAGCTTACTCACTTTTTACCATTCCTTACATCTTCCACTCTCTTTACTAACCTTTCTTCCCCGACCGTGTAATAATACACGCCTACACACACGCCTACAACATGCGCGTCTCATTCTGCCACCTCATTTCTCTCGCCCTACTCATCTCATCCGTCTTTGTGTCTGCAGGACCAGCACCAGATAATAACGGCGGCGGCGGCGGCGGCGACAGCAGCTGTTCTACATGCTGGGTTCAGGAACGAAACAAGTTGCCAGAATGTCAAAACATCCCAAATTCGGAAGTAGATGAATTCGCTAAACTTTCCGACCAGCAAATTATTGACAAGAAGGCTGATTTCCCTCATCTTATCCCTTGTTTGTGCGCGTTAGTGCCAAAAGTACCGTCCATTATTAACGAATGTAACTGCAACAAGGATGATGCTAACGGTTTGACAAAAGAAAGTACGATCGTAGATGCTCTTTGTAAAGATGTAAATAACCAGTCGCCGAAACCAAGTACGGCTAATAATACTACTTCAACCGGAGGCGGCAATAACAAACCCGGATATGGTTCGGGTGATGATTCTACACCTGGAAATGCTTCTGGAGATGGTTCTGGCAACGATAATGCTACGGATACAAGCACAAATGACTCAAGCCCCGCGCCTGCTACGAACGCTGCCGTCTCTGTTCAATGGGCTGGTTCCTTCATGGTCACGTTAGGAGCTGTAGTCGTAGGCCTCACATTGTAGAGTCGACTTCAACATAGAGATAGATCTATAGATAAAGTACTATCTGTTTGGATGGCTTTGCGTCATAACTATGTTGTCATTTCATTATAATTAATGGCAGGGAGAGAGGTTCCAATTACTCGCCTCCCCACCCCCAGCAAAACTACTGCTACAAGAGTTCCCCTGTTTATTTGTATTTTACTTGTTTAAAATTATTTCTTTCCTTGTAGAATAGAATGTGCGCGTTCTAGGCTTGTATTCGAATCCCACCTTTCTTTTACTTAATTAGTTTTCACCGACAATCTATTCATAGATATATAAATATAATTAGAGTTCTAATTCTCATCTTTTAAAAAGAGAATTCAGACTCTTTTTTTTTTGTCCCTTATCATCAACTACGCCGTGAACTTTTTTCTCCTTCCTCTATGAGTCGCTTGTCGATTCTTATCGAATAAACGATGTACTCTATCATTGTAACATTAGTAATTGGGAAGTGTATCTTTGCGTCCGTCTGAATGTTAAGATTTACAATTCATCGGAACGAACCGTATTGTCTGCGGTTTATTATGTGACGATAGCGAACGGTTCGACTGTTATTGTGTGAATTACTAGGCTACTTGAAGATCGACTGCAACTGCTGCTCACTTTATCATTGGTTCTACCCATGCTGTCTATAGGTTAAACATCGGTACCATTGGAATTTAACTGGTTATTTGGTAGTACAGAATTATACGCATCTTTGTTGAAAAGCACTTTCAAACGCTCTTATCAATTGAACGGGTCAGTTTACAAGTTTAACCATAATTTGCCTTTTGGTAGCTTGACTGCAACTTTTTGGAATAGAGCTCCAACTGTTTGGCATTAGTTTTTGGTTGCCTCCCTCGCGTTTAGATAGCGTAGCTTTCCGAAACGTGACCAATACATATGGTACATGATTTTCATGCAAGAATTATGCACTATTTTTTTTTCCCAAGTCCAATTGATTCTCTTTCTCACAACCATCCAACAAGATCATTGGAGGGAATTGAGCGTTCAACAAAAATTCATAATTCAAACGCAATCTTTGTTTCACAATAAATCAATACAAACACATTTCCAGAAACGTTTTTTTCACAAACAAACGTTGCGTTTCCTGGTTTTGCACGTGTAACACTTTCAGTATTCACAATACGTGTTACAATAAGAACGCGAATCGTATGTAAATCAAGTCACTCTTTTAATTCGTACAGTTTATTACGAAATATATATTTTTTTCGCTGTAAATAACGTTTCACTTATCATATTAGAAGATGCATTATTATTGTTATGATTTAAACTGATTGTTGGAAAATAAAGTTTGTTTAGGACAGACGAATCAACTACTGCAAATTCATGGTTGCATTTCACGTTTTTAAATAATCAAGAGTTTATGTATGAAAAGGGACATTATTTTGCATGATGAATACGTCATATCGATTATCATGTCTACTATACTCGATGAGATTGTCCGATCACCTGATTAAACAAGAACAAACAAACAAAATATTTTTTGAATTAGAAATCTCGGTATAGATTTGTAGAAAGAGGCGTCAATTGGCCAACTCTTGTTTTCCATGTATACGCTTCCAAACATAGCAAGAACGGCATGAATACCGATTGCTACAACAAAGTTTACGGGCCCACTTTGCATGAGTAACCCAAATTTTATAGAGCAAAAGCTCCCCAAACAAATAAGAGCACCTCTGACAATTTTTTTTTGCCTGGTTTACACTTTATACAGTTAGTGAATTTATTTAATTGCGATTTGAGTTGGACCAATTTAAATTCAGATCAAAGGTCCGCACTTTTCCAAAAATGCAGTGGATGGGACGAGATTGGTTGACGCCACAACTGTACTACAGCCGGATTTATATCAAAATTTTGTAATCATGTGTAAAGATTGACATCCTCTTTCCCCCGTTGCCAAGGGGCTTCGGATCAATTTCTTTTGCGCAGCAAAATAAGATCTTACTCGGGCGACGCTGTGGGTATCATGGTGATTATCGCTCAATCCCACATTCTTTCCCAGATGATATTGTATCCTAAAATACGTACAACATGATTATAAATAGCTCGGATTTTTTTAATTATGGTGTGATACCTGATTTCTTTTCCAGTTTTGAATATTTTATATTTGGCAAGCGTAGTCTTGGTTATTATTTGTATAGTTATTCATGAGCTATGATTTGTGACCATTCACTTCTTTCATATTTTACAGTCTTTGTTAGCGAGTAAAAGGCTTGTGATTGATGCGCAGTCTTGGTGATGCTTGGCACTTCATTGGGAGTGATTCGCGTGCCTTTGTTTATAGCCGTAATTGACGCTACAAACACGTGATGTGTAAATGAATTCTGGGATAGCGCAGACATTGACATTACAATATATTTTTTTTTCAATACCAAGCATGTCTTGGAATCTGCTTTCTTGGCAACGTGAATGTTGAAACAACGGTTTCTCGTTCTCTCCCCCAAGAAAATACCTCTTTATAAAGGTGACACCAGTATTCCACGTGATACATCGCGCGGCAAAGGTGTTATTAAGCTGAACGCAAGCAGCTGAAAATGAACCTATCATATCATAGAGATGCCGAATAGATTTTGATCCCCCAGTTCTATTACACTATATTGTCAAGGACAGTGATTATACATCACATAATAATCGCTTGTCCAAATGTCTTGGAAACTCTCATGATTGCTTCACCCCCCCCCCCCTTCCACTCCAAGAAAACAAGCTGCGGGGCATCTCGGCTCCGTAGTAAAAAGAACTTATGAAATCGTAACGTCATAACCATAACCTGCCAGACTAAGCAACCAAGCCCCCTTGGAATTCCAACCTTGGCCATTTTTTTTTGGCCACATTGATTGCGGCTATGTGTCGCATCCATGCATAAAAGCTTGCTTGCGTCCACCAGTTTTTTACCCCCCTCGCCCCACACCTCAACCCTCTATCCCGCAGTTTCACTCACCTTTTTATCTATAATAATATCCCACAGCTTAGACTTGCCACAATAAAATATCATGGATGAAGAAGTAGCTGCTGTAAGCATCTGAAACCATGTTACAAAGGACAAAAAAATAACCATACTTTTTTTAATATCTACTAATAAATAATTTTTTTTCTCCATCCCCCGTCCTTTCCTCGACTTTAGCTCGTCATCGACAATGGTTCTGGTATGTGTAAAGCAGGTTTCGCCGGCGATGACGCCCCACGTGCGGTAGGTTTTACTCTGTTTGGCATAGTTGTTCGTTGCGTTCTGCCAACCAACTTTATATAGCCGCAAAAAACTGTCCGTTTTTACCGTTTTACCCGTTCTACCAGTATTAACCTATCGTGTTCGGATGATAGGTGTTCCCATCCATCGTAGGTCGCCCCCGCCACCAAGGTGTTATGGTTGGTATGGGTCAAAAGGACTCGTACGTCGGCGATGAGGCCCAATCGAAGCGTGGTATTCTTACGCTCAAGTACCCTATTGAGCACGGTATTGTGACAAATTGGGACGATATGGAAAAAATTTGGCATCACACTTTCTATAACGAACTTCGAGTTGCTCCTGAAGAGCACCCTGTATTATTGACGGAAGCTCCACTTAATCCCAAGTCTAACCGTGAAAAGATGACACAAATTATGTTCGAGACGTTCAACGCTCCTGCTTTCTACGTCGCCATTCAAGTATGCGAGAGCAAGATTAATGTTTCAGTTTTCGTTTTCGTTTCATCGCGCGTAGCAATCGAATATTGACTGACGCTCGCGCTATAATGTAAATTTTTTTTTTCCTAGGCCGTACTTTCATTGTATGCTTCTGGGCGTACTACTGGTATTGTGCTTGATTCGGGTGATGGTGTTACTCACACTGTACCCATCTACGAAGGTTACGCTCTTCCGCATGCCATTCTCCGTCTCGATCTGGCTGGACGTGATTTGACCGATTACTTGATGAAGATACTTATGGAGCGTGGTTACTCATTCTCAACTACCGCCGAACGTGAAATTGTCCGTGATATCAAGGAAAAATTATGTTATGTTGCTCTTGATTTCGAACAGGAAATGCAAACCGCTGCTCAATCGTCCTCGTTAGAAAAATCTTATGAATTACCCGACGGCCAGATGATCACCATTGGTAATGAACGGTATGTGTGGTTTTACATGTCATTTTCAGGGATCTAGAAAAAAAAAAGTTTTTTTTTATTATCATCTTGCGTCCCCCAATCCGTTATAAATAAATTGTTGTTGATATCGATTTACAGATTCCGTGCTCCAGAGGCTCTCTTCCAGCCATCATTCTTGGGTCTTGAAGCAGCTGGTATTCACGAGACGACGTACAACTCAATCATGAAGTGTGACGTTGATATTCGTAAGGATCTTTATGGCAATATCGTTCTCTCTGGGTATGTATGGAAAACTCGACATTTAATCACCGAAAGCAAAACTCGAGAGTGAGAATAACAATCATTCTGTTTTATTAGTGGTACGACGATGTATGCTGGTATTGCTGACAGAATGCAAAAGGAGATCACAGCCTTGGCTCCTTCGAGCATGAAGATTAAGATTGTTGCTCCTCCAGAGCGTAAATACTCTGTCTGGATCGGTGGATCTATCTTGGCATCACTGTCTACCTTCCAGCAAATGTGGATCAGCAAACAAGAATATGATGAATCCGGCCCATCTATTGTTCACCGCAAATGCTTCTAAACTTTTAATACTTTTAAGATTATGTTTTAAGATTTTTTGCGTAGTAGTTTGCTTATTAGGCATATTTTACTAGTTATATTACAAAAATTGGGGTATAATGGGGCATGTATACACCGAAGTATTTATTAAGCAGCCCGAATAAAACTTGTCTTTTCAATATCAACTAACGCGATAGAAATGGATTGGTGAGCATCCCGAGTTTGCTGACGATGAGATGCCAGTACATCGGGGGTACTTTCTCACCCCGCGCGGATGGATGTAACAATCGATCGCAAGACACATCAATTCTCCGCCAATAACCATCTTTTTCAATC